GGTCCCCCGGCCCCGGGCGGCTTCTGCGGGCAGTGAGGCATGAAGGCGACGGCAACCCCCGTCGATCCGGGTGCATGGTTCCTGCTGGGCATGGCTGGAGCTAGCAAGCATGGAGCGGCTCCGGGCTTCTCTCCCTCCTCGGAGCACGCCCCAGAGCCCCGAGCCTGCCTGTTAATCGGGAAGGCGCTGCCCTCCCCTGCTTGCTGAATCCTTGCCCCGAGCAAAGCCGGGGGTCTGAACGGAGATGGGGGGGCTGAAAGGGGGAGAAAAGAATTGGAGAGAAGGGACAGAGACGTAAAAATGAGGGGAGAGGAATGGAGAAGAGCAAAGAGAACACACATGAGGGGCAAAGTGGGCACCAGGGCTACAGGGGACTATAAACGGTCACGTTTCCCCTCTACTCCGCTGCGGTCTGGAACCGGGAAGACAGCGTATAAAATAAGGTAGAGATGGAGGGAAAGAAGCGAAGAGACACCTTGAACTGTGGTAGGTTTGGGCATCAGTGAGAGAAAAATAAATAGGGACTCCGAGAAGGCGGACAAAGCCTAGACGAGGAGAAAAGGAGGTTCCCCCTCTGAATTATTTTATTTTTTAAAAGGATCTTCCTAAACTGTGGTGATCACTTCTGATTCCTTCTGAGGTTTAAAACCTTCCCCTGTTTATGTGCCGCGTGGAATTTATGGACTTGTTAGTTTCATAAGAGATGTTAATTTTAAAACTTTGAGTATGTGCGTGGGGGTAACCGTTTTCCACCCAACCCACTCTACTGTAAATGATTTTAATCCCTTCTACACTAAATATTTAACTATGCTTTGGCCCTTTAAGTAACAAGTGACAGCTAACAAGGAAATTAAACAACGCTATTTTGGGAACCACTAATCTATGCATTTTTCATATTGTGAACTGAGCTGTTACTGAGCAGGATTCTGTCAGTTCAAATCACCCCTCCCAGCCTCTCAGTCCTGATATGGTTCCTTCCATAGAGCTACTTTAGAGCTTGGTTACATAGTAAAGTTTAGCTATAGAAGGCTGTTAGGAGCTCTGCAGGTTTTTTTACAGACTTGTTAAAACCAGATTTTTGAATTGTAAGTGAACATTTTCCTTAACATGTAGTTTATATGATGTGAAAAGCCTGGGAAGAAACTAAGAATCAGAAAATGTCACTGCCCACTCCCCCTCAGTCAGTTAAGTGGTTAAACATTACATTTAACCAGATAACCAATTAAATGGGATTTTACATCCCCAGCATGTACTACAGGCAACCTTGACCATTAGCTTTTTTGCACCCATGTAAAGTGAGAAGAGCAGCAGAGATTGACTTTCTGTACATGAAGCTACACCATGGTGTTCCTGAACCAAACCCAGTCCAGGCTCTCTGGCACCTGTGTACCCACTGTTCACCCGTCTCTCAAGCAGTGAGCTGTTGTAAGCCAAATGATCTATCTTTAGTTAAAAAAAAAACCTGTCTTGGGGAAAATCCCAGGCTTTAGTAACACCCCAAACAGTGTGCATACAGAAGGAGAAGAGACAGCTTTACAGTCCCCCTTGTGATCAGTTGCTATGCATGAGGTAGCACTCTGATAAAACTGTTGGGTCAGATTCATCCCTAGTCTAACTCTAGTGATTAATGAGGTCTATGACTTGGTTGTCTTTATAGGTCAGATCTTCAGCTACACTAGAGATAACATGTGTTTATTTAGGTAAACGTGTAATCACTGAAAATTTCAGTGGTTATACATTTATACACGTGAGGGAGACAGCTCCCATAGAGCTGTCTGCCTCCCCTTCCCCAGTACATCTGATATAGAGGCAACAGTGTGGGTTGGCTCCCACCTTCCTCCACCCTCATTCTCCCATGCTTCTGCCTCTGTATCAGATGTAGTGGGGGAGGCAGGAAGAGAGAAACTGCTTGGTGGGAGTTGGAATGGTACCGGAGCTGATACAGAGGCAGCAGTGTGGGGGGAGGGTACTGCGTGTAACCACAAAGGCTACATGTTTACACTTTCACATTCCCAAGCCCAAATAAAGACTTGTCTTCTCTAAAATGGTGTGTTTGTACCGTGGTGTATAGATGAGATCAGTCATGGATGGAGCCATAGTGCTGCCCCTACCAGCTATTTTGAGGCAGAATTAAAGTGCATTGTGTCCATTGTCACACAGTGGGCTAGCTCACACACCTTAGTTACCCATGATTTTTTTTAATTAAGCAGTGTAGACAAAGCTTAACTCTTCTTCTTTGTATCACTTTTGTTATCACTGGCTCTCTGCCATCACAACTTGAGGGTCGTTGCAGCTAGGTGCCAGCTTGAGGCTGAACTGGGCACTACGCTGGCCCCAGAATCAGCCTGTTAAGCTATTTTTACCACTCCTATGAATCTGGCAAGTGCAGCTCAATCCAGTGCAAGCATGGATCCCAATAGATATCAACCTACTGTAGTTCAGTAACAGTATCCCTTCACCTCCTCATGTCACTGGTCCAGGAACACACAGTGCCTGGATAATCCCAGAACTGCTGAATGCAGCTGCTCACTGGAGATCTGAGTCAGTGAGTGGTTTTCTCATCCAAAAGATTAAATTCCATTGGAGGTCTTTAAAAAAAAAAACAGCCTAACATCATCATCAGTTTTAAAGAAATAAACAAAACAAAACAAAAAAGAGTTACTGGCAGTGCTCCACCAAAGGCAGAGCAAAAGCTTGGAATTGGAGAAAAGGGAACTATGAGGCTTCTAGCACAAACCCCCAAAAGTTTCCCCAGGTCCAGTATCTCCTGTGCATGTAATTGTATGTGATATTATACATGGCTGGAGCCCTCCATAAAGAATGGCCAATTTGCTAAGATTAGTCAAGATATCTAGGGCTTGATTCCTCAAGAGGACCAGTATGGAATCTTTGCAGAGTTTGGGTTTTAAATTTCTTCACTTACTTAAATGGACTTTTCCTAATTGATGGGTCTAGGACTATGCACATGCAGGATCTCTACAATTAGGAGTTTAAAAGAATATTTGTACTTCACACAAGTAGGCTTATTTTAAAATAATAGTGACAGTTTTCAATAATCAAATTATTATATCTTGTGTGTGAGAAAAGGCTTGTTAAATTTAACCCATAAGGGAACACACCAGCCAACCTAGTGTTAATACTTTAGCCTTCCCAACAGCATTTTGTTTCAGATATTGTTATAGGTGGCACTAGACTGGGGGTCACATTCAGATGAAGTGCCAGGGAGAGAGACTGGGAGTCAGTAAGTAAAAGGGAACATAGGTGAGGGACAGGGAATGATTGGAGGCCAGTGGTGGGGTAGGAGAGAAAGACAGGTCTGATGAGAAGTCACGAGGGGTGGAACTGGGATGGGAGTGGGCAAGAAGAATATAACTGGGAGTAGGATGGGAGGAAAGACTGGGAATTTTTAATACTGGAATTTTTAAACTTTTAAGTGCTTAATTCTGGAACCTTGAATGTGGCTTTTATGTTTGTAAATATTTATTTAGAATTTTAGTAATACTGAATATTCCAATCATAAAGAGAGTCCCACTGTGCTAGGTGCAGCACAAATACATAGGAAGATGCAGTACCTGCCCCAAAAGTGTTACACCAATACACACCGCTGTTAAAAAAGCATTAAGACTGCAAAAGTTGCAAAAGCAACTCCTCAAAAATTAGGATATGCAATCTATTGCAGCTTTACGGTCTTTAATTACATGATCACCTACAATTTTTCTTTGGCATCCCTAAGTCCTATGGTCGTCTCTGAATGAACAGCTATTTGAATATTTATTTTTATTCTCCTCATTAAACATGTGGCTTTGTGGAGTAAGTATTGCGCAACAATTCAAACCCTGTACTGAATACAAAATCATTTATTTCCACTTTGGCTTGGGTATGGTGTTTTGGTTATCATAATAACATAGTTCTGTACAAACACTGGTGAATTTATCTTTTCAACACCTCTTTGAGGTGAGGGTTGTATTATCATCTCCATTTTACATAGAGGGGGTCTGAGGTAGTGTCAGACGTGCCTACTGATGTTGGGTGTCCAATATGAGAAACCCAAGGCCTGGTTTTCCAGAGTATTCAGTATTCTATAGTTGTTTATATGTCCAGAGCTCCCATTGACTTCCATGCAGTTCTGACAGCTCAGCATTCCTCCAGCTCAGACTTTGGTGTCTAGAAAATGAGGAATATACAGGGTGCATCTATACATTACCCATACCTTGAAATAGCTTATTTCAAAATTTGGCACTGTCTACACAGCACCAACTTTCTAAATAAAACACTATTCTGAAACATCCTTTAAAACTTATGCAATGAGGTTTACAGGGATGTTGGAATAGCGAGCCCATTATACTTCGATATAACAGGCTTGCTCCCAAGCCCCTAAGATTCAGAATAGTTATTTTGCTATCCCAACGTAGCTATCCCGAAATAGCTCCACAGCATAGATGTAGCCACAGTGGCCTCCTGTACAAATTTGCGTTTACATAACTTGCCTAACATCACATAGGTGGAAAAACAAGCAGGATAGACTCTAAGTTTTCAGGATAACATTTAACTGCCTTAACAATGAGGCCTTCCTTTTTCTTCCAACTGTCCCTTGCCTTGTTCACCACACACATGACCATTTCTGCAACAAGGGAGGCAGGAGTCATGCA